GTATTTAATCAGTACTAACTATAAATTTCTTCAATTGTATACCACTTTGTGTTGGTCTTTCACATTAAATTCCAGTGAAATATATTTATGTTTGTGGTTGTAATGTGACAAAATATGGAAAAGTTCAAGGGGTATGAATACTTTTGCAAACCACTGTATATATATGGATAACGGCTCACCAAAGAGGATCTCTACATTACACTATAAATTAAAGGGAAACTGACAGATTTATGATCATATATTTTGGTTAATAATGAAATATTAAACGATTATTTATTCTGACCACATCATATTGAATTTTTGTAAAAAAATAAATCAATTAATTAAATAAAAAAAAACACACCAAAATAATTTAGGAGGGCTTTAAAATATTTAAGGGGGGCTCCAGCCCCCCTAAAATAGGCTTAGTGACGCCACTGATAAAACAGAAAGACGCTTAATCATTGTGGTCTGTTATGATGGCTTTTTTGTTGTTTATTATTTTGTTTTGATCAAATAGAGGTAAAAATATGGAATCACTCACATTTAAGGAATAAATTCTGGAGTCACTCTTTAAAAATGTAATTCTAAAACTAACACCTGCATCAGATTACATCTGCTAATTAGTCTTCAGTTTAAAAAAAAGAGTGCTCTTACTCTGGAAAGCTGTTTCACAAAGTAATAAATACTATGCTGATGTCGTATTTAACCTCTTGTGCATGGCATGGTTACATCCTCATATCAAACACCCAGACTCCTGAGTTGGAAGACTTGGCTTTAGTTTTAGAGAGGGAGGGTCTGATGTGTTTAGGGGGATGTTTGTTAATAAGTTTGTTCTAATGGAAAATGGGTTAACTCTAACCCAATATATCCAGGCATATGCAACATATGCAGTTTTAGTATTTCATGTGTCTGAAATAGTTTTTCTCTTCTCTACATTGGACAGATGTATTGTTCATCCACAAACACGTGGCTCTGGTAAATCAGTAATGTGTATTGTGACAATGGCATTTATAGATGGGTTTTATGGACTCCTGGTGCTTTTTAAATCCAAGTAAGAGGCAACATTTTATTTTTCTTGAAAAATACCTACACTTGCATTTAATTATTTTTTACACATTTTTATGGTGACAAGTGGCTCTTCTCAATTTCAGAATATGACAACTGTAATAAATGCATATACCAACTGAGCAAAGAGTCTTTTTTTCCCACCTGAAAGTCTCACTATCCATCCCATCATTGCTGAGCAGGTTGTTCTGGAGATACAATTCTCTGAGGTTTTGCAGGTTGTCCAAAGCTCCAGCTGGTATCTTCTCCAACTTGTTACTCTGCATTAAAAAAATCATCCTTATAATATTTAATTTTCTGAAAATAGAACAACACCTACGACGCTGCTAAAAGTTTAATTGCCCACTCAAGCAGAAAGATGCTGTCATGTGTAATTATGTTTTTGACTGTTTCAATAATGTATTTTTTAATTTTGCAGTTCCATGACCTTTAAATGAAGGCGGTACAGACTAGAGGGCAGGTTGTTGGGAACAAGTCGCAGTAAGTTGCTGGACATGGTGAGAATCTCCAGGTTGTTGGAGCCGTTGAACATGTTTTCAGGAAGTCCTGCATCACTCAGTTTGTTGTTGTGGAGGTACACAGACCTGCAAGTCACAATGCAAATGAGACAAGGTTCGATGAACATAATTCAAAGAAACAGATAAAGTCACAAATGTTCCTACCTTAGTTTTGGCTTGTGGCCAAATGTATATGGGAAGATTCTTGTGAGCTGATTAGCAGCAAGATCAGTACTAACCAACGAGGGCGGCAGGACCTTTGGTGCTGAAGTAAGCTGAAAGCACATTAGATATGTGTCAGGACTTGAATACAAAACTACTTTACTGGTGTTTTTCAGGTTTTGGTCTCTCAATACACTCTGATCTTGTTCTTGACTTGGTCTTGGTTTAGGTTGTCTTGACTACATGGACTGTGAAGGCTTTGGACTCTGCGGGCTGTCGTCTATGTGAGCTGCAGCCTCTGAATTGAGCATCAACAGAAAAGAGAATGCTAGGCAGGACACCTCACCAGGTGAAACATAGTGACAAGGAAATGTTCCCAGTTTACTTTCACTGCTTGTTTGAGTTTACCCCTCCCTACCCCTGGACTGATCAGTTTATAACTCTTTATATAAATGTCCAAGACATAGGGCTGCAGGTCTGATAATAAGATTATACAGTAAAATTAACAATAGGGGTTTGGTTTAAGGTGGCCTATTACTACAATAAGTCAGTTTAAGTACATGGTGGTCCATGAACTACATACAGTATTTTAATCGCAAAACCGCTCCGTTTTAGTTTAGGTAAGTCATTCCTCACAATCACACAGACTTTTGACAACACTGGCATTGAAGTCCTCATGGACCATTCCATGATGCCAGTCCTCCAGACACACCAGAGAWCCTCAACAGTAAAATGCTCAGCTGAATGTCTGTGCATATCCAAACCCTGCTCCTTAACCCCACCAGACCAGAGGCCTATTGCACAAATCTACAATTGATTTGATTGATTTGATTTGATTTATTGATTTAACAGGAAAAGATTATTAAAAATCAAACCTGACAGCATAATTGCTGTTTTACAGCAGGTTCCTGTTCTGCAGCAGATAAAACACTCAGAATTACAGCATCACAATCACATCATTATACACCATAGACACAAAGACAAACAAGCA